ATACCTTCAAACTTAAGATAGTTTACATAACAGCCTTAGCTTTCACTTTCTGATTGCACAAAGCCCCAAGGTCAGTCAGAAGTGAGAGACTAGTGCTTTTTTCCCCATGCCTTTTTAAAAACATTATTTATTTATTTATTAGATAGAATATTTGGAATTCTTTTTCTTTTTAAATTAACATATAATGTATTATTTGCTTCAGGGCTACAGGTCTGTGAATCATCAGTCTTACACTGTTCACAGCACTCATCATGGCACATACCCTCCCCAGTGTCCATAACCCAACCACCCTATCCCTTCCCCAACATTTTAAATAAATTTAATTTAATTAACATATAGTGTATTATTAGTTTCAGAGGTATAATTTAGTGATTCATCAGTTGTTTGTAACACTCAGTATCATTACATCAAACACCCTCCTTAATGCCCATCACCCACTTACCCACCCATCCCCCCCACACCTTCCTTCCAGCAACCCTCAGTTAAGAGTCTCTTATGGTTTGTCTCCCCTTATGATTTTGTGTTATTTTATTTTTTCCCTTCCCCAGTGTTCATCTGTTTTGTTTCTTAAATTGCACATATGAGTGAAATCATGAGGTATTTGTCTTTCTTTGACTGACTTAATTCACTTAGCATAATACTGTCTATTTGCATCCATGTCATTGTAAATGGCAAGATTCCATTCCTTTTGATGGCTGATTGATAGTCCATCGTATGTATAGGTCACATCTTCTTTATCCATTCATCTGCCGATGGACATCTGGGCTCTTTCCATATTTTGGCTGTTGTGGACGTCGCTGCTATAAGCATTGAGGTGCATCCCCATGACTTTTTTGGGTGAGGCATATCCTTGTGCATCCTTAGACTTAGAGGGATGTTTCAGAGGTTTTCAAAATTTGTTTCTCCAGTATTTCCTTTTAAATTGCTGGACAAATTCTTGTTGATCCCACTTAAAATCATAGGCCTAGACAGCTGGTGATGTGAGAGTAGTTTGCTATTGTGTTGGTAATGCCCTAGAGTAGGCTTCCCTCTCCCTCACAAGTTCTCAGTCAAATCAAATAGCCACCACATTTAGAAAGTAAAAAGTGAGGGGACTACGAGTTAGAAAAAAGTATTGGGTTGTGTTCTAGGAGAGATAATGAAGCTTTTAATGGAGCTCCAAAAAATAGATCTCTCGATTGTCTTCGGTATTCTCTCCTTTTGGCTGCTGCACCACTGGGCTCCAAGTTAAACCTTCCCAGATTCCCTTCTCCCCAGTCTTACTGAGGTTTAGTAAGTTCTCTTGGATAGACTATATTCAATTCGTTCTGTGGTTTTGGGTAATTGCCAGAGTTTTGAAATAGGTGGTTTTCATTGTTCTTTGTGTATTTTTGTTGTTTTAAAAGGAGAGCAAGTTCCCCAAGGTCCTTACTCCTCCATCAGGAAGTCAATTCCCAGGACCTTCACTCCTAAGCACAACATGCTACTAAAGCTTACGTTCATCTACATCAGCTGAGCTTTTTCAGGTGTCTTTCATGGGTACTTCAGTTCTTTCTTGCCTACATTCTTCTTCTTCTTCTTCTTCTTCTTTTTTAAGATTTTATTTATTTATTAGAGAGAGAGAGAGAGAGAGAAATAGCAAGAGAGGGCATGAGCAGGTGGAAGGGGCAGAAGGAGATAGAGAAGCAGGCTCTCTGATGAGTAGTCGGTCCAATGCTGGGCTCCATCCCAGGACCCTGAGATCATGACCTGAATCAAAGGCAGATGCTTAACTGTCTGAACCTCTGAGGCTCCCCTTGCTAATTTTCTTTTTAGTCTATACTTCAGTATAGACTTTGGTTGTCCTGAAATGGACTTGCACACTCTCTAGTGTTCTGAAAGGCTCTGCTCATTCTTTACTTTATCCTAATGTAGGATCAAAAGTGAATTTTGTCACTGTGTATCCATAAAACCTTCAGCAACAGTCCTAATCTCTCTATGCATTAGTTACCGATCTGTGATCATAAGAGAACATCTAATTTATGCTGTTGTTAAAATTAAATTGAATAACTTAACAACCAGAGACAAATAACTCAGTTTAGAAATGTGCAAAATAGAGAAGTCAGTTGGGGGAAATCAGAGGGGGAAATGAACCATGAGAGACTGTGGACTCTGAGAAACAAACTGAGAGTTTTGGAGGGGAGGGGTGGGGGGATGGGTGAGCCTGGTGCTGGGTATTAAGGAGGGCACCTATTGCATGGAGCACTGGGTGTGATGCATAAACAATAAATACTGGAACACTGAAAAAGATAAAATAAAATTTAGATTAAAAAAAGAGCGGGGGAGGCAAGATGGCAGAGAAGTAGGAGGCGCTGTTTCAACCAGTCCCCTAAAGTGAGTGGATTATCTACCAAAGAACTCTGATCACCCATGAAATAAGCCTGAGATTAGAATTATACACTTCTGGATCTCTATGGGGGCAGAAGACACCAGTGGACAGGTAAGGCAGAGTGGGAACATCGGACTGATATCAGAAGATAAACGAAAGTGGGAGGGAGCCACTAGAATCGACCCATTGGAAAGTAATACACCCCAATAGGAGAGTGCCCTGTGATTGGGGACCAGAATTAACTTCGAGTCTGGTTGAAAGCACTCAAAAAGAGCAAAAGATCTTAAGGGGAAATTGGTGGAATCCGGCGGTTAGGGACAGGGGCTTAAGCCCATGGACCCAGGATGGCCACTGCTGGTGCTGAGCCAGAGAGAGTGCAGTGAAGAAGTCAGGCATTGGTCCCTGAGCTGCAGGCTCATGTGAGAGTGTCTGGGTGGCTGCGCGTGTGAGAGAGTCTGGTGTGGACACCAGCCAGCGCTCTCTAGAACCACAGCCTTTTGCACTCTGCACACGCACTGCGTGAACAGGGTCTGAGTTGCGCTCCTCACCCTCCCCTGAGAGAGGTCCATGCAGGCACTAGCCAGTGCTCTCTAGGACTGGCAAGAGTCTGAACACTCCCAGCCAGGGCCAGCAGAAAATCTCAGTGTGCTTTCTCTGGTTGGGACCTCTCTGGCTGTCTGGACTTGCCCAGACAGCAGCGGCACAGGTAGCCACTGGAAGCCAGCTCCCTGGACTAGTACTTCTCATGATTTTGGTAACACTGGGGTAGAAGCGGGAGCTCCTGTGACCCCTGACACTGTGACTGGGGAAGTGCTCTGCTGGCAGCAGAGGGGGAGTTTATGTGCTCTGGAGCACCCAGAGGGGAACAGACTGAGACTTCTCTCTGAGACGGAGGTCTGGGTGCAGTTTGCTTTCCTCTAAACCTCCAAAGAACTGCCAAAAGCTGCCAAAGGGAGAAAAAAAAAATGGACAAAATAAGGGCGGTTGTCTGGCTCAGTTGTTGGAGCATGTGATCTTGGGTTGTGAGATTGAGCCTATGGGGAGTAGCAATTAAAGAAATAAAAAACTGGAAAAATGGACAAAACATTTTAATAGACACATTTCTAAAGAAGATGTGTAATTGACCAATTAGCACATGAAAAGATGTTCAACAACCTCAGTCATTAGGAAAACGCAAGTCAAAAACCACAATTAAGATATTAATGTATACCCGTTAGTGGAAATGGTTAAGACAGACAAAGTGCTTGCAAGGATGTGGAAAATTTGGAACACTCACACATTGCTGGTTGGAATGTAAAATGGTGCAACCACTTGGGAACATGGTTTGACAGTTTCTCACAGGTTTAATATACAGCTACCACATGCTAGGCATATACCCAAGACAAATGGAAACATGTTCCCACAAAAACTTGTACATGAATGCTCATAACAGCATTATTCAAAATTGGAAACAACTGGAATGTCCATCAACTGAAGAATGGATGAACAAAATGTGACCTATCCATCCAGCAGAATATGATTAAGCTATGAAAAAGAGTAAGGAATATTACTCATCCATAAAAACATGTTGCACTGTGAATGAACTTTGTGAGCTTGATACTAACTGAAAGAATCCAGTCATGAAAGACCACATACTGCACAATACCACACATGTAAAATGTTCAGAACAGGCAAATCCATCAAGTGAGACAGCAGAGTAATGGTGCTCTGGGTGGGATGGGGAGTGGAGTGTGTGGAGATGAGAAAATGTGACTGCTGATGTGAATGAAGTTTCTCTTTGAGGAATTGAAAATGTCCTAAAGTTAGATGTTGGTGCAGGTTGCACAACTCTGTGAATATTCTAAAGATCACTGAGCTGTATAGTATAAATGGGTGAACTTTATGGTCTGTAAAATACACCTCAATAAAACCATGAAAACTTTCAATACTAAGTTGGTAGGTTTGGCAGTCAATGGAAACCAATTCAAATGAACAGTGCAAGAAAGGATCCTTAAAGCATGTTAGGTTAAGGGGGCGCCTGGGTGGCTCAGTGGGTTAAGCCTCTGCCTTCGGCTCAGGTCATGGTCTCAGGGTCCTGGGATCGAGCCCCACATCGGGCTCTCTGCTCAGCAGAGAGCCTGCTTCCCTTCCTCTCTCTCTCTGCCTGCCTCTCTGCCTACTTGTGATCTCTGTCAAATAACTAAATAAAATCTTTAAAAAAAAAAGCATGTTAGATTCATAGGACTCTCAAAATCTGCTAACACATTTGTGGTCTTCTTTGCTTCAACACTGCTTATCTCAGTAACATCATTCAATGTCAGTATCTTAGATGAAAATATAGTTTCCTTAGGAAATCTTCCTTAATGATCCTAATCCCTCAGACTCCAAACTAAGCATGACATCCAATGATACATTCTCACAGTCTCATACTTTTGTTTTATTGTTACAGTATGTCTAATTGTGTGTCTCATGCTCCATGTGAGATTTGTGGGTTTTACGACCATGTTTACTTTCTTTACCACTGTATCTTCAGAGTCAATGACAGAACCTGTCATGAAAGAGTCACTCAATATTTGTTAATGAATGAATGAATGAATGAATGAATTTATATAGTAGTTCTATATTCCTAAGGACTAATGCATTTTTTTTTTTTTTTACTCTCTCTCTTGCTCAGCTGCTGGCTCCACACAGGAAAGAGATTTATATGGAGCTTCCTTGGACCAGTTTGTGCCATCTTCTCTGTGAGTGATGACATCACAGCATCCTTAATGCTTAACCGGGGGGTCATTAGAAAAGCAGAACAGGACTGGAAGAGATTATGCTGAGTGAAATAAGTCAAGCAGAGAGAGTCAATTATCATATGGTTTCACTTATTTGTGGAACATAACAAATAGCATGGAGGACACAGGGAGTTAGGAGAAGGGAGTTGGGGGAGGTGAACCATGAGAGACTATGGACTCTGAAAAACAATCTGAAGGGTTTGAAGTGGGGGGGGGGGGGGGGGTGGGGGAACCAGGTGGTGGGTATTAGAGAGGGCATGGATTGCATGGAGCACTGGGTGTGGTGCCAAAACAATGAATACTGTCACGCTGAAAAGAAATAAAAAAATAAAAAAACTCCTAATTTAAAAAAAATGTAAAAAAAAAAAAAGAAAAGCAGAATTTTAAGAGGGGTGACAGGAGCAGGCAGGTACCTGATTGTCACAGCATTGTTTGGTTTTCTAAGACTGCTCCTAAAACTACAACCTCTAACACTGTTGCTTGATATGGAAATGACTTAAATGTGGAATTGATGTTGCACAGGCTAAGATACAGGTCACAGACTGAAATTTTATTCAATAAAGCTTCTGTGGTTTTCTGAAGGTCAATTTAGTTTTCTTTCTGATGACCCTCTGGATTTTGAAAAGCAAATTGTCATCCCTCAACAGTGATGTATCCACCCTCCAGTACACAAGGTAAGATCGAGAAGAGAGTGACAACCCCACAAACATGTGTGGTCCTAAGGACAAAGCTGTGTGCCTCAGCAGCCCCTGACACTTCTTTGCGGGGTCTGCTGAAGGGACCTAGAGTAGAGAGATGCAGTTGTCCTTTTATGGCAGCTGGCTCAGATTCAGTGGTGTGCTGCTGAAAACCTGGCCAAAATGTTCTATTCTTTTTTTTTTTCCGGAGAGAGAGCATGAGAGTGTGGGGGAGGGGAGGGCTGAGGGAGAGGGAGAGGGAGATTTTTTAGCAGGTTGTATGCTCAATGTGGAGCCTGACATGGGGCTCGATCCCACAACCCTGAGATTATGACCTGAGCTGAAATCAAGGGATGGACTCTTAATGGACTGAGGCACCCAATACCCCTGTTCTATTTTTAACCCCAATTTTTAATTCCCTCAGCAACAGGAAGAATTGGCATTGGTTAATAAACATTCTTTGGACTTTTGCCAGCAAAATTCTTATGGCAAATGTGCAGGGAACATTTATGTTCCAATGAAGCACTTAGAAAAACCTGTGACTGCTTTCACAACCCAGCCTAGACTTCCACACCCTACTCTTGGTTGGGGCTCCTTCTGATCCCTCTTCCATTCCTCTCTATGGGGAAAATCAAATAGTCAATGCCAAATCTTCTGAGAGGCTTCGGCAGTCCTTTGCTCCAGCAACCTTTGTGGAAATTTTTGCTTTTTCTTCCATATTCTTATTATTATCCTTTCAAAATGAAAATAGAAATCTTCCTTGGCTTATTTATTTATTTATTTATAATTATGTTAATCACCATATAGTTGATGAACTATAGTTTTTTTATTTTTAATTATAGTTTTTTTTGCCTTTTTTATTATTTTATTTTTCCAGTGTTCCCAGATTCATTGTTTTTAAAAGAAATTTTTATTTATTCTTTTTAAAAAATTTTTATTTATTCTTTTAATTTCTTTCCAGTGTTCCAGAATTCATTGTTTATACACCACACCCAGTGCTTCATTCAACATTAGTTTTTGATATTTCCACGATTCATCATTTGTGTATAACATCAAGTACTCCATGTAATCCATGCCCTCCTTAATACCCATCATTAGCCATCAGGGAAATTCAAATTAAAAGCACTTTGAGATACCACCTTACACCAGTTAGAATGGCAAAAATTGTCAAGTCTAATTGAATTTAAATTAAAAACAAGGATGGTTTATAAAAAAACTTACATAAAATAGAAATATTGTTTTTGATAATTTTTGTAATTTTAAATTTTTTATTATGTTCAGTTAGTGACTGTATAGTACACCATTTGTTTTTGATGTGTTCAGTGATTCACTAGTCGCCTATAACACCCAGTTGCCTCTGTTATTTTTTAGTGCCCAGGTCCCAGCACAGAGCCTGATGAAAAATAACTCCTCAATAACGTTGAATGAATGAAATTCAGGATCTCCATGGAGCATTATAAAAGTTTTGAAACTTACATTATGAAGTATCTCTATCCTCCTCATTCCAAATCAAAACTCCACCCTGGTGCCTTGTGGCATTTTTTCTCTAGTGGATTACAGATTGTAAAGATCAAAGCTGATCACCAGTTAGTCTGAGAACTGAGCACCAGCAGGGGAAGAAAGGAGAATCCATGGGTAAAGATGAGAGTGGTTGTCATTTTATTGCCCTGGGTGCATCTTGACTTCCTTTTTCATCCTACCCAGAATGCTGACATTTAAAACCACAGCTCAACTCATCATCTTGGGCTGCACATGGTGCCTGGGCATTCTGCAGGTGGGTCCAGCTGCCCATGTCATGGCTTACCTCTTCACCATCATCAACAGCCTGCAGGGCTTCTTCATCTTCTTGGTGTATTGCCTCCTCAGCCAGCAGGTACCATTGCGCATTCCCACCCAAGATTCCTCCCATCCTTACTCTCCTCAGGGAGCTGACCCAAGCGTGCTTTGCCTCTGCAGGTCCGGGAACAATACAAGAAATGGTTCAAAGGGATCAGGAATAGAAGAACTGAGTCTGAGAAATACACACTGTCCAGCAAGGCCATGTCTGATTCTTCCAGACGCAGCATGGTAAGGTCAAGCATTGCTCCTAGAGCACTTCACTAAGTGATCTGCTTGAGTATATGCTTGTCACACTGAACAACTTTAGTGTGTAGAAGATGATGCCCTAGGGTGGCTCACACTTGGTTTGCTTTTTACTCTTTATCTATTAATTTAATGTTAGTAATTTAGCTGTTAATTATTAACTTTTGGACTGCTCTATGAAGACAGTGCTTTCACTTGATCTTTGGATCCCATCATTTGTGTCTTCTCAATTATCTTTAATTATTAGCAATGGCCTTTTTTTAAAGGTTTGTTTAAGAATATATTTTGCGGGTGCCTGGGTGGCTCAGTGTGTTAAAGCCTCTGCCTTCGGCTCAGATCATGATCCCAGGGTCCTGGGATCAAGCCCCACTTTGGGCTCTGCTCGCCAGGGAGCCTGCTTCCTCCTCCTCTCTCTGCCTGCCTCTCTGCCTACTTGTGATCTCTCTGTCAAATAAATAAATAAAATATTAAAAAAATATATTTTCCTCCTTAGGGAACTGTGTTCATCTTACCTCTTACACATCAACACTCTCACGAAACACCTGCTATTTGGCAGGCATGGCTACTAAGTAAATAAGAATCAGTGATCTGAAGTGGCAATGCACATTCAACTCAGGCCACAGTATCCTATCCTTTTCTGGTATACCCATCTATCTCTCATAGTCACTGAGAGCAAGTCTCAGAAAGGCAATCATGGGGGTGGTTGATGTACATATTTAGAAATTAAACAGAAGTGTTGGCCAGCATTTTGGACTTTGTTATAAGAATGCCTGATATTTCCAGTATCCTCCAGCCACTGGGAAACCAGGAAGAAAAAGCAGTAATGACATGGGAAAATTTGTGGGGATGGAACCACACTTACTGGCTCAAATTGAACCGAGTTCTCTACCTGTGGTTTCTCACCTCTTCCATTTTCTGTTAAAGACTCCCCTGAGTCTCCCTTCCCATCTAAAGGAGCCTACTCTGCTGCCAGAAAGTCCTCCTGCATGACTTTGTTCACCCAAACTCCATTAGATTCAGTGGTTCTGCCACTGAATCTTCTGTGTTCTCCCCCTTTCTCAACAAATGTTCTCCTCACCTGTTTCACAGAGAAAATCAGAGTCTTTATGATGACACTTTGTGAACTGTATGCCATTGGCCATACCAACCAAATATCAGCATGCATCCTGTCCACATTCCTAGATCATTACTGCAGGTTTTTATGTTCCTCTAGGAAGAGTGCTTCCACCTGCTCTTTGGATCCCATCCTTCATACCTTATCACGTATCTTTAAGTTATTGTTCACATATTTTCCTCCTGTCTCTCCCCTTCCCTCTGGCACCATCTCAATAGTATTCCTCCCATAGTCGTGGAAACATGTTTAGTTTTCTTCTATCTTAAAAACATATACTACTTGCCTCCCCTTTAGCTACCAGCCAAGAATTGATTTTTCTGTCTCCATTTCCTTGCCTAAAACTTACTCCCTCTTCCCCTAAACCTTGCAAATATGGTTTCTTCCCCCATTATGCCACCCAAACAAACATCTCTTAGATCTACAGTGATCTCCATGTCCCTAAAAGTTTTCTCAGCAACGTCTGACATCCTTTCTCACAAAACACTTCATCCTTATGCCGTGTAGGTTCTACTCACACACCCTTCCACGTCATTCTTCCATTCTCTCTAACTTTGCTCTCTTTGTTTCCTTTATAGTTCCATTGAATGGATCAGCTCCAGAACAACTTCAGTCATCATTAAATTCTTTCCTCCTAGACAATAGCATCTATTTTTTAGATTAGTTACCACTAAACACAAATGACAGCCATGTATATTTCTCTAGCTCTGATCTCTGAGATCTAGAGTATTTCCAGGTTCTTATTTCTTATGTCTTGAAGACACCTGAGCCTCCCAGTAGAAGACTTGCAATCTCTAACACAATTTAATTATTTCTCATGACGTCTTTCTCTCTCTTGATGGTACTCCATCATCCTGTGACACTAATCAGATCACAAAAGTTACTCTCAACAATGATTTTATTTCCTACCACAGCCTATTCATTATCCATTCCTTGCCATTTTTATCTTCTCTATGTGTCTTCAGTCTGTCCTGCTGACTCAGTCTTCCTAACCCCTCGTTAGAAGGCTGCCATCTTTATTTGGCTGAGCAACTGCTGTATCCTAAACGACCACCCCTTTCTACTCTTGTCAGCTTCTCATGCATACTTTACACACAATTCAGAGGGACCTTTTCAAAACACAAATAAGGGGCGCCTGGGTGGCTCGGCGGGTTGAGCCGCTGCCTTCGGCTCAGGTCATGATCTCAGGGTCCTGGGATCGAGCCCCGCATCGGGCTCTCTGCTCAGCAGAGAACCTGCTTCCTCCTCTCTTTCTGCCTGCCTCTCTGACTGCTTGTGATCTCTCTCTGTCAAATAAATAAATAAAATCTTAAAAAAAAACACAAATAAAATAAAGTCACTCCTTTTTAAAAAAATTATGTTCAGTTAGCCACTCTATAGTACATCATTAGTTTTTGATATAGTGTTCAATGATTCATTAGTTGTATATAACACCCAGTGCTCATCACAATACATGCCTTCCTTAATACCTGTCACCCTGCATGCTCAGAGTGGAGTCTGCTTGAGTTTCTCTCTCCTCTCCCTCTTCCCCCTTACTGCACTCTCTTTCTAAAACAAATAGTTTATCTTTGCTGCTATGAACATTAGGGTTCATGTGCCCCTTCTTTTCACTACATCTGTATTTTTGAGGCAAATACCTAGTATTGCAATTGTTAGCTTGTACAGTAGCTCTATTTTTAATGTCTTGAGGAACCTCCATACTGTTTCTCAGAGTTATATGCAACTAATGAATTGTTGAATACTATATCAAAAACTAATGATATACCATTTGCTGGCTGATTAAACATAATAAAAAATAAATAAGTAAACCTTTTTAAAAAAGCATAAACATTTATCTTACAGATCTAGAAGTTCGGAGTTTTAAATGGGTCTTATGTGAGTAAAATCAAGGTGTCAGGAGAGTTGAGTTCTTTCTGGAGACTCTAGGAGAGTTTTTAATTTCTCACCTTTTCCAGCTCCTATAGTCTGCCTGCTTTCCTTAAATCATATCCCCTTGCTCACTGCAGTATCTTTAAATCTCTCTTGCTCTCATTCTCTCTCCCCTGCTTTTGTCAGTTGTATCTCCTTTCCTGACTTTGACTCTCTTGCCACCCTCTTTCCCTTAAAAAGACCTTAGTCATTGTACTGCCTCACTTCCCATCTAAGATACTTAACTTAATTTTATCTCAAAGTCCATTTTTTTTTCCATGCAGAGTGACATGTTCACAGGATCCAGAGATGAAAATGTGGGCATCTTTGGGAGAATCATTACTCTGTCTACTATACATAGTTTTGGTTTGCCTATTGTAGAACTACTAACATCTGCCTGGTATTATTGTGTTTGAGTAAATATCAACCCCTCTCTCCTGAGATGATCTTCACAGTGGAGAAAGAGAATTTCTGTGAGAAAAATAGCATCAGATAGCCAAGGAAGGTGTCTAAAATGCAAGTCATCTGATCAGCTGTTTCTACTGTCGATGAGCAAATGACCAAGCAAGTCCATTCCTTAGTGTAGTTGTATTTTCTCCTGTCTTGTAAAATTTGGTTCCTCTGGTGTTTAAAGATATAGGAGTATCTCTTACTCATCCTGGCATGTCTTCTCTGGCTTCCTGAAGACTTGTTCAAGAAAAACACAATAGTTCCTCTTACATTCAGTTCTGAGTAATTTCACATAGCATCATTTTTATAAACTTATTGTGTAGAGATAAGCATGTGAAGTTGTCTAACTCAAACACCAGAAATCACACTAAGCTTTCTATAGACCCAGGAACAAATAACTCATATTGAGAATGGAAAGGATAAGGGGGGAAAAAAGGAGAATTAGTTTTTTTCCTTTACATTTTAGGTAATGACAACATGTAACATTTCTAATCTTGTGTTAATTTCCCACCTACCCTCTTTCATTTCTCTACACATAAAGCAGCATTTCACAAACCTTGAAGCAGAGGGATCAGGGCATACATCTTGAAAGAGACAGATCATTTTTTTTCTTTAGCACATTTCATTGTTCTTATCTTCTGTAACTTGGGGGTTAAGATTTGTAGGGAGACAGAACTTCTGGGGAAGATCAGGGTCTCACCAAATGTGATATAGTATGACCTTTTGATCTTCCTCTGACATATTCACTTGGCAAGGAAATTTTTTGATTGAAGGCTTCATTAAATTTCTTATTTATTTTTTCAGAGGAAACTTTAAAAAATTTATTTATTTAGAGGGAGAGAGTGAACATGAGTGGGAGGGGCAGAGGGAGAGGGAGAGAGAATCTCAAGCAGACTCTGCAATTAGCATGAAGCCCAACGTTGGGCTCATTTGTACAAACCTCCTTGTGACCTGAGCTGAAACCAAGGGTCAGACCTGTAACTGACTGAATCACCCAGATGTCCCAAAGGAATCTTTAGAATTATCTTTGTGTAGTCTTTTATAACATTTCTAAATATTATTTTTTCTAGGTTAATTAAAAAATGTCTTGAGTTATATCCACTTATCCCATGGAAAATTGCAACTGTTATTCTCTGAGCCACTGAGAGGATAAACAAGGCTTTGTTGTCTGTGTTTCAAGAAATTCACCATGTCAACAATGTGAAAGAAGTCAACAATGTTTGAGATCAAGATCTGCATAATCTGGAATTTTTCTGTGTCCTTCTTTGTGATCAGAAAACTTTCAACATATAAAGGGCCATATGTGGCCCAATTTCCTGGTCACTTTGGGTTACATCCTTTTCTGAAACCTCTCCTTCCTACAAAGACTTTTCCAGATACTGAACATCTAAGTGCTGGAATACTTATCTCAGCATGTTTTCCTACCAAAAACATCCATAGGAATGGAAAATTTCATACCATAGTATAGATTTTGAAATTTCTTGTTTTGTGTTTAATTAATCACTCATTCAAAGATATTGATTTCTCGCTTGGTCTAAGGCAGAGACCAAAAGAGACTCAGGTTTTGCCTTCATGGATATTTCAGGGGGGAAATAAAGTGATTTTTGCAGCTAGAGTTGACTCCCAGGTGGAAAGATTCCTATAAATCAGAATTCTATTACTGGACAATTGAAGTATAATCCGTTTCACAGACACCATCTAGTTTCATCCTTACATGATGATACAGATAGTTTGAAAACTCAGATCATGATATGTATGTTTTAGTCTTTGTGGGCCAGTGTATTAGTCAGGGTTGTCCAGAGAAATAGAACCAACAGGACATACACACACACACACACACACACACACAACTTTTATGAAGTGATTTACAATGAGGTATGGACTCACATGATAATGGAGCTAACTCCCACAGTCTGCTGTCTGCAAGCTGGAGACACAGAAAGATGTTGGTGTAGTATGAAGTTCTGGGAGGACAAAAGCTGATGGTGTAGTTCCATTCTGGGTCTGAAGGCCTTAAAACCAGGTATGATGATTATCAAAGATGGATGTTTCAGTGAAACCATTAGGCTGAATTAACTCCACCTTCTTGCACTTTTTTATTTTATTCAGGCCCTCAAGGGAATGGATGATACCCATCCACATTGGAGAGGGCCTTCTGTTTTACCCAGTACAATTCAAATTCTTATCCCTTCTGGAAACACCCTCACAGATTCACCCAGAATTCATTTTTAACCAGCGTATCTTGCATCCTGTGGCCCTATCAAGTTGACACACAAAATTGACCACCATTGATAGACTCTAGAGCAACAATTTAACTCTGCCATTGTAGCATGAAATTCTATGTAATGAACGATCATGACTGTGTTTTAGAAAAATTAATTAATTAAAAAAATTAACATATAGTGTATTATTTGCCCCAGGGGCATAGGTATGTGAGTCATCAAGCTTACATATTTCACAGCACTCACTATAACACTACCCTCCTCAATGTCCATAACCCAGCCACCGTATTTCTCCCCACCACCACCCAGCAGCCCTCGGTTTGTTTTGTGAGATTAAGAGTCTCTTATGGTTTGTCTCCCTCCTGAACCCATCTTGTTTCATTTTTTCCTCTCCCTATCCCCATGACCCCCTGCTCTGCCTCTCAAATTCCTCATATCAGAGAGATCACATGATAATTGTCTTTCTCTGATTGACTTATTTAGCTCAGCATAATGCCCCCTAGTTCCATGCATGTCATTGCAAATGGTAAGATTTCATTTCTTTCGATGGCTGCATAGCATTCCATCACTATATCCACCACATCTTCTTTATCCATTCATCTGTTGATGGAAATGTAGGTTCTTCCCATAGTTTGGCTATTGTGGACATTGCTGCTCTATTTGGGTGCATTTGCCCCTTCAGATCACTACAATTGTATTTTTAGGATAAATACCTAATAGTGTGATTGCTGGGTTATAAAGTAGCTCTGTTTTCAACTTTTTTAGGAGCCTCCATACTGTTTTCCAGAGTGGCTGCATCAGCTTGCATTCCCACCAATGGTGTGGGAGCATTCCCCATTCTCCACATCCTCCCCAACATCTGTCATTTCCTGACTTGTTCATTTTAGCCATTCTTACTGGTGTGAGGTGGTATCTCATTGTGGGTTTGATTTGTATTTCCCTGATGCCAACTGATATTGAGCATTTTTTCATGTGTCTGTTCGCCACCTGGATGTCTTCTTTGCAGAAATGTCTGTTCATCCTCTTACACTGTTGGTGGGAATGCAAATTGGTGCAGCCACTTTGGAAAGCAGTGTGGAGATTCCTTAAGAAATTAAAAATAGAGCTTCCCTATGACCCTGCAATTGCACTACTGGGTATTTACCCCAAAGATACAGATGCAGTGAAAAGAAGGGCCATCTGTACCCCAATGTTTATAGCAACAATGGCCACGGTCGCCAAACTGTGGAAAGAACCAAGATGCCCTTCAACGGATGAATGGATAAGGAAGATGTGGTCCATATACACTATGGCATATTATGCCTCCATCAGAAAGGATGAATACCCAACTTTTGTAGCAACATGGACGGGACTGGAAGAGATTATGCTGAATGAAATAAGTCAAGCAGAGAGAGTCAATCACCATATGGTTTTGCTTATTTGTGGAGCATAAGAAATAACATAGAGGACATAGGGAGATGGAGAGGAGAAGGGAGTTGAGGGAAATTGGAAGGGGAGGTGAACAATGAGAGACTATGGACTCTGAAAAACAATCTGAAGGGTTTGAAGAGGTAGGGGGGTGGGAGGTTCGGGGAACCAGGTGGTGGGTATTAGAGAGGGCACGAATTGCATGGAGCACTAGGTGTGGTACATCTTCCTTATCCATTCGTCCATTGAAGGGCATCTTGGTTCTTTCCACAGTTTGGCGACCGTGGCCATTGCTGCTATAAACATTGGGGTACAGATGGCCCTTCTTTTCACTCCATCTGTATCTTTGGGGTAAATACCCAGTAGTACAATTGCAGGGTCATAGGGAAGTTCTATTTTTAATTTCTTGAGGAATCTCCACACTGTTCTCCAAAGAGGCCGCACCAACTTGCATTCCCACCAACAGTGCAAGAGAGTTCCCCTTTCTCCACATCCTCTCCAACACATGTTGTTTCCTGTCTTGCTAATTTTAGCCATTCTAACTGGTGTAAGGTGATATCTCAATGTGGTTTTAATTTGAATCTCCCTGATGGCTAGTGATGATGAACATTTTTTCATGTGTCTGATAGCCATCTGTATGTCTTCATTGGAGAAGTGTCTGTTCATATTTTCTGCCCATTTTTTGATATGATTGTCTGTTTTGTGTGTGTTGAGTTTGAGGAGTTCTTTATAGATCCTGGATATCAATCTTTTGTCTGTACTGTCATTTGCAAATATCTTCTCCCATTCCGTGGGTTGCCTCTTTGTTTTCTTGACTGTTTCCTTTGCTGTGCAGAAGCTTTTGATCTTGATGAAGTCCCAGAAGTTCATCTTCGCTTTTGTTTCCTTTGCCTTTGGAGACATATCTTGAAAGAAGTTGCTGTGGCTGATATTGAAGAGGTTACTGCCTATGTTCTCCTTTAGGATTCTGATGGATTCCTGTCTCACATTGAGGTCTTTTATCCATTTAGAGTTTATCTTTGTGTATGGTGTAAGAGAATGGTCGAGTTTCATTCTTCTACATATAGCTGCCCAGTTTTCCCAGCACCATTTATTGAAGAGACTGTCTTTTGTCCACTGTATATTTTTTCCTGTTTTGTCGAAGATTAACTGACCATAGAGTTGAGGGTCCATATCTGGGCTCTCTACTCTGTTCCACCGGTGTATGTGTCTGTTTTTATGCCAGTACCATGCTGTCTTGGGGATCACAGCTTTGTAGTAAAGCTTGAAATCAGGTAATGTGATGCCGCCAGTTTTATTTTTGTTGTTTAACATTTCCTTAGCGATCCGGGGTCTCTTCTGGTTCCATACAAATTTTTGGATTATTTGCTCCAGCTCTTTGAAGAATACCAGTGGAATTTTGATTGGAATGGCATTAAAAGTATGGATTGCTCTAGGCAGTATAGACATTTTAACAATGTTTATTCTTCCAATCCAAGAGCATGGAATAGTCTTCCATGGCTTAAGCTTTATTTGCTGTTCTTTCTGTGGTTCAAGGAGTCCTTCTGACTCCATATCTTTCAGTGCCCCTTTCTGTTGTTATCCAGATTCATATTTCCATCTGGGGAGATCTTTAGCAATCCTATGATATGTTGTAAAGGTACAGAGGCTTGAGGATGGTGGAGGGGCCCGTCCAAGATTGTGTGGGCATCTGGAGTCCTCAGTCCTGGGAGCAGCAAAGAAGCCATTTTTCAAGGAAATACAGGAGAGGAAGAGTGAACAGAGCAGTGCTGGAATTGTTTCTGGGGCATGCAGAGGGAGAAGTTCTGTCTTTATAACTAGAGGACTTGAGGATCTCTCTCTCTTTCCCTCCATCCTTCCTCTCTTTCTCTCTCTCTTACTTACTCTTTCTCTCTCTCTCTCCCCTCCACCCTTCTGTCCACATCCAGAGGAAAGTCATAAGAGGACACAGGTAGCAGGCAGCCAACTATAAGCCAAGTGAGATCTCTCAGCTGAAACCAACCCTGCAAGCACCTTGACCTGGGAATCCAGTCTCCAGGAACAATTTGAGAAGGCAATTTTCATGGTTTAAGCCAACTCATTAATACTATATTATTATGGTAGCACTTGCTGATTAATATATATGGAAATGGAGAAAATGAAGAAAATGTAAAAAATGTAAAGAAAAATCATAATTCTACCACAGAGACTAGTGAAATATTTGGAGGTATGTTTAAATATAATGTTAAATATAAATGAAATATTTGGAGGTATGTTATCTTTTAAAACATATCAGGAATATTTTCTCATCAATGAACATGAATCTCAGACTGTGTTGAGTATTGCTGAAAAGTAAAAACAACTTGGTTCTAGAATTGCCAGGGTTTAGGGATGTTGGCGTTGCATGAGGGAGAACTTTGTGGTGATGGGATCTTTATCTATTTTATTGCAGTGACAGTTACAGGAATCTACACAGTGATAAGATGTCAAAGAGCTATACATGCACATTGTGTTGATGTCAGTTTCTTGGTTTACATATTTGACTATTGTTACATAAAAATACGTATATACATGAAATGCATCTTTTGCAGGAAGCCAGGGGAAGGGTTTCTAGGAATTGTTTTTGAAACTTCCTGTCAATCTATGTTTATTTTAAAATAAAATCTTAAAAGAGGAAGTCTGTGAATAGATAATCATTAGATAAAAAACGATCTGTTCACTCTGAACCACAGACCTCACAGGGGCCAAAACACCACTGAAATTGTTCTTCATGTTTGGAGGTCTTCCTACATAAAAAAGAAAGAAAAAACAGCAAGGAGGCTTTCAGGAGGAATACTAGTAATGCTAAGGAAA